GAGAGAGGACTCGGTGGAAGTTAAATGTATCGTATCCGTTGTTGACATACGTTGTGGCCTATTGTGCTGTTCGGTCTCCCGGCCCAAAGATGGCCTCTTTATTCAAGGAAATGCCTTTATCCTTTGTGCAGCTTGCAAGATGTCTGCAGATGCATGCGATGTTTTAATGCTTAATAAACCCCTGCTGAGTGGAAATACCAACCTATCCTTGGGTAGTCCCACTAATCCTCCACAGGCGCTTTTTCAGCTAGCCAAGACGCACTTTTCTTACGATTAACTGCAAAATTAGCGGCCGTTAATCTGTGCTCGACTTTGGGATGCGCTTGTAGTACAGAAATCGTCGACATTACAGTGACGTAATACAATTCTTTGTATACCAATACAAATGGAACTACATTGCGAAATTAAAGTGTGCAAATGGAATTCTAATAATTTATATCGTAGCAACGAAGTCGTAAGTTTGATTTCCGTTGAGATATTTCTAATATCTCGAATGTCTTATTCTTTGTCATTTATTGAATGTTAGGGTTTAAGTTGATGTCATTCCTGACCGGTGGGTCACATGATTTAAGATAGTTTAGTTCTTCTTTCATTCTCTTCTAGTACAGGAACACTACATGTCAAAAGTAGTTTTTCTTTCTTGATTACACTATCTTGATCAATATTTATGTGTATGTTCAATTCACATCGTCATTACTGTCGCAACAGTTGGTCCTCACGTCGTATTCAGTCCTCTGAAGTTTTGCCTAAGTTAGTTCTCTTGCCATTTTTTCCCATTCAGGGTTGCTGGTGGTCTTCTGTCCGTATCTGCGTGGGATTGGCCCACCAGAAACGATTTGATTTGTCGATATCACGTGAACGATTTGCGTGCTGTGTCTTACTCGCAATCACTGCGTTCTCGATCCACCGGTTCTGGTTCCGGTGGCTACGTCCAACCATACGCACAATCTAGTCTTAGCGGTCAAATAATACCCGGCGTCTCACCACTCACAAGGGACACAATTGCCTCAACCAAACCGTTGCAGGAGCCCACGGTAGTGAGAGCGGTTCCCCTGACTTCGGCACTTCCGCGCACACGTCGCTCTCAATCCAGTTCCGGGTCGAGCAAAAGTAAAGTGCGTCGTGCCCCCGAATCAGTTTCACAAGCATCGTGGGAGGGGAATGGTCGAGTTAGCAGTTACGATCCACGGTCGCCGGACACGATCTCAG